AAAAAAAAAAAAAAAAAAAAGTAGTTAGGAGTTTAGGACTTATTTGGTATCCAAAATTGTTATATAGGCCCAAGGGAGACTGGACTATGAATAGCTACTAGGCCCAACAAATGTGAACGAAGCGTTGTCGTATTGCTACGAGCAAATTTTTCTGGCCTGCTGCGTTGTCTTCCTCACGGAAGTTGCAGGAATGAGTAATAATTCAATGGCAATGGAGGCTGCATCTCTGCGACACGCAATTTTTGCAACAAATCGAAGAAACCCAGTTGGGTTTAAGCCATCGACTCATTCAAGGAGGAAGATTAGACTGCAACGGTCTCGCTTTCGCTCTGGTACTATCTCTTCTTACAAGGAAGGTAAGATAATTCTGCAATAAATCTCTTCCTTGTTCTTCCCATGTCTACTACTCTTGTTCGGGCACTTTCTTATGTTTGTGTTTATTCCTTAATTAACCAAAGATGGTTGCTTTATATCTTTTATTACGAAATTCATAAAAGTTAAGATATTTTTCCTTAATTAAGTGAATTAATTATGTTTCAAATGAATTTATATTTTAGAGTTTAGACCTTTAAATTGTGTTATAGAAGATGTTATTTCAAATTTTCAATGACATTATTTGTTGGGGAATCCTGCTTTCCTTAAGGCAGTTTGGTGTGGGAGGGGATGATAAAATGAAAATTGTTGTAGTAATTGTACCATGTTATATTGCTTCTGTTCTGCTTATTTTGATAAGACATGATTGCCCAATTTTGCAGCTAAATCATTTCATCTTCAGATTTTCAGGGGTATGCTAGACCTTCAAGTCTTTTGCCAGCCACAGACGTGAAGGTCTGTACAGAAACCTTGCAAGAAAAGATTTTCTCATCTATCAGCTTGGATAGACCTCAGTCCTTGTATAAAGTTAAGCTACGGACAAGTAACATCTATGGATCAAGTCTGAGCGACATGAATGCTGGAATTCTTTTGTGCTTGATAAATGAAAAGGGTGACTCAATATTACAGAGGATACCTGCATGTTCGATGAATAGTCATTCTGCAGATTTAGAGAACTTGGTTCAACCTGAAGTACTCCATTTCCAAAAAGGTTCTGTGGATGAATTCATCTTTGAGGGACCTGAACTGGGGAAAGTTGAAGCGCTTTGGATCAGCCTTGGATCAGGTTAGTCTCTTCTACAAAGAACATGTACAATGCAGAAATTTGGAGAATACACCACTTGAGGTCTGGAAAGCCCATGAACATTGAACTTAACTGCATTTAGTACTATACTGTTGCTTTCTATATACTGTGTAAGATAATTAGAGACTTAATTTGCCTGAAACCCCATGAGTACACTCCACTCCTGCTAAGTTATTGTAAGATTTTAGATGATAAAGAGGCTCCCTTTTTACATAATTAGAAGGCTATTAACATGAACCATATCTTAAATATATATGGTCAACTGGAGAATTTGATTCACCTCTCTTTCTCTCTCTATCTCTCTCTATCTCTCTCTCTCTCGTTTCTTTCTTCAGGTCAGTGGAGATTAGAAGGTGTCACTCTGACCATCTTTTGTAAATGTCAGCCTTCATTGGAAGAAAATAATGGGGAAGATGTTAAGTATGTTGGTTTTCAGTATGACTTCAACATCGATAATATCTTGCTCGGAGATGGAGGCAGCATGTCAATGGTGGAATTAAGACCTTGCCTTGTCACTGAATTGTCTGGGGTTAACCCCACCAACTTGTTGAGTACAAGCTTTTCTCAACCTAATTCACTTTTGGAGGAAGGGATAAGTAAGGAGGAAAGCATGAAGGAGTACTCAGATTTGAAGTTGTCCTTGTTACTCTATGATGCTGCTCTAATCTTTGTTGGTACCTCACTTGCATCATTCTCATCTGGGGAAAGGTCAGCTTCTGCATTCTTAATTGGTGGTGTCCTTGGCTTTCTATATTTGTTGCTAGTGCAAAGATCTGTTGATGAATTACCAGCTGCAGAACCAATTTCTGAGATTAATGCAGAAGGCAATAATAATAGAATGGGTGGCCTAAAGGGTCCGCTATTAAGGTTTGCATTAATCGTGGGATTTTCTGCTCTAGCAGTCAAGTATAGCACAGCTGATGTATCATTTGTTTTGACTCCTAAAGAACTCCTGCTTGGGATGATGGGATTTCTTTCATGTAAAGTAGCAGTGATTTTGGCAACGTTTAAGCCCTTGCCATTGAGCCTAAAGGAAAAGGAGTGAAGCATTTTCTGTTCATCCCCTAGCTCTAGATACATATCGAAACATGTATGGTTAAACATCATATTCAAAACCTTTATGTATAGTTAAAATTCAATGTTATTCGGTCCCAGTTCCAAAGAGCTAGATATTTTTGCTGCGTTTGCCGGGAGTCGAACCCGGGTCTATTGCTTGGAAGGCAATTATCCTAACCGTTGGACTACAAACGCTATTGATGTCAAGGGTACATAGATCATCTCCTTTTTATCAGAACGTCCGTACAAACAGTTTGATGATCAGCTGACTGAAAATGGCGAGACTACAAGATCCTCCACTTAGAAAGACATTTGTTGTAAAACCAACTTGGCCTCCCTTGAAGGTAAGACAAGAACGAACTATGAATTTCCAGAGAGTTCTAGCTGACCCGATCAAATTACTTTCTGCCGTGTAGCCCGCTGTTTTCAGTGTGCAAACACTAGGGAAATCCCACAAAGTACTACCATCAGTCACCACCTTGTGTTCTTTCAGGAAGTGGGGGCACAAGTTTATTTGTTTAGAACCCAACAACCATGTGGGACAGACAACATCAGGAATTAAAACAAGCAAAAGAACGTATCACAGTTGTACCATTTTTTGTTTCTTTTACTGGACATGTTCTGTTTCACTTTTTGCTGAGAATTTAATCTATGCCTTTGGCTGCAACTTCTCCCCTCTTTTTTAGTTCTTGGATATAGTTAAATTTCAATTCTGGCTTTATGCCTTCTTGCAACTCCATGGTTGATGCTTTTGAGATGCTCGCAACATTTGTTGTGTTTTAATATTTACTTCATGAATCAAAACTTAGCAGAAAAGTGACAGCATCACAATCCATCCATGGCACTTCTGTGTAGGATATTGGGGAGGTTTTTCTATCTTCAGTTCTCTACCTAATTATTCCACTTTGGCAGTGCATAAGGATCACAATATTTTGGAACCCTGGAGATCGCTTGAAGACAAAAACATTGTAGTCCCACTTAAGGGTCTAACAAGGCATCGAACTTGTCCAAGATTCTCCCATAAACATCATCAGAGAGGACATAATTTGGCTGTCGCACTTGGATTGTCCAAGACAAAGTCAGCATCCTTGTAATCCTCGAGATTCCATAGCCTCGAGATTCCATAGCCATATCCGTACAATATGCCATTTATTCATAGATCATTGCAATAAATGTATGCACTAGGTTTGCAAATTGAAATAAAATACTCTTTTTCCACTTGTCTTAATCAATCATAACCAGTTTCTTTTAGGTTAGATGCCATGCAATTTTCCTGCTTCCATCACATTTTCTGAATATTTTGTGTGACAACAAATAAGAAAAGGCCAAAGGGGCTATTTGCACCCTACACTTAATTGTTTTCCGCAGTCAACACCTTTCAAAATTTTTCCTTCTTATTCACACCCTCAACTTTTCAAAACTCGTAAAAAACCCAACATTTTAACGTGCTGTCATAGTACCGTTACAAAATGCATTACATGGCACTATATGCCGTTAGTAATCCAATGTGAATCTCTTTTTTAATGATGTAGCTTATTTTACACACGTGAACGCCACCTGTATAGTAAGCCCACTTCATACAGAACTTTTAAAAGAGATTTGCATAACTATTTTGGGAATTTAGGGTTTATTTTCATCCCCTTCTTAATCTTCCTCGAGCTTTCCACTCATGCTTCTAATGGA